CAGCCTTCACATTGGTATTCAATATAAATAGGATTATGGACATTAAGAAAGGTTCCTGGGTCAGTATGTCACTATTCACTGTGTAAGTTAATATGCATATCCCCTCCTATTGCACTTACTGTAAGTTATGATACCAGATAATGCTTTCTTAGCATAAAAAAAAAGTTTTGTCATCTTACCTTCACCAGATTCTCCTTAGGAAATGCAGTGATGTCATAGATAATAATTTTCCTATGCCGATGCTCGGTTTAACAGATCAGACTTGTCTAGATATTCAACTTTAGCAGAGGCAGCACAGTATCATTCATGTCTAAACTTATAATCTTCTGGTAACAGCTATAAGTGTCAGTGGAGTAAAGGATCATTATTGGTCTTATTCCTTCAAGCAGGCTGACCATTTAAGATGGTTCTTTAATGTAAGACGGTTAACAGGTAACAACTCTAAGGACTCCACCGTTGGTGCATCATCAAAACAAAAGCAAGCACAAAGTGACACTCATTGCATAAAAGTTATTTGTTCTCATAGATAAAGAGAAAGAGAGGCCAGTTCATCTTCGTAACAGCTGCATGTGTTTTGTAACAATGACAATGCATGAAACTTAAAGGTGCAGTAGGAGATCTTGGAAAATGCTAACTTTAGCCTGATAGCACTGAAAGCGAACGTCCCACCCTCCCTGCAATCGACGTCCAAAGCCACGCCCCTGAACGCATATACGCTCACATACCAGAATACCAGAGACGACATTACAATAGGCTACATCAGTGGTTCCCAATTCCAGCCTATGTTCCGAAGTGAAGTAAACTTCAATGGATTTCCCCCGCTCAGGGAGGAGGGAGCAATGAACACTGTGTAGGGATCATATCGATCGGAACACAGTTCATGCTCACTTCTAACGAGCTGGTTATCTGAATCGCGAGGACTGGAGTTGGGAACCGCTGGGCTACATCATGTGTCATTCACCGGTGAGAAATCTTTAAAAGTACTACAATACCAGGAAGGAAGATCGGGTTGTTGATGTTTGTCTGCCATTCTCGCTCTGTCTACACACTGTCTGAACGCGCTGATGACGTATCCTGTCTGCGCGAATCGGGTGCGCAGAGGTATGCAGATACATACATTGACAGGCAGGTAGGACAGGCTCGGTTCGAGCGTTTTAATTGGACGAACATTTCTTGGTCCTACGCCTTCCACAGAATATATAAATACAGATAAATACATTTAGACCACTCAACTTAATGATTGCTATCGGGGTGTGAAGAGACTTTCAACCAGCATAACAAAAAAAATTTCTGAAGACAATCACCTATTGCACCTTTAAGTTGATTGCACAGCAGTTTTCCGATTTGCATCCTTATATTCTTATCTGCAGCCGTTAGCTTAGACTGTCCCCAGTCTTCCCACTAATAATTGACTTGAACATTTACTGGTGACAGTTCTGTTAAGTGGTGTGGAGTGTGCCTATGACAAACAGTTTCAGCATTTCATAACCTGAAATGAATGTGCAGTTGAAAAAAAAAAAAAGTAGTTGAAACTAACTGGTTTCTTCCCATTTCTCAAGGAATCTTGTCTTCTTTTGTTCTCTCTGCTGTGTAGGACTACATTGGCATATGAATACAGCTGCTCTTTGGACTTTATGCCTGAAAAGGCCTCTGGGTTTCAGACCAACAATGAGAGATGTTCGCCAGTGCCCATTCAGTAATTTTTTTATGCAATCTAAAGGCTGTTCATGTGAAATGGACCTACAGTTTCTGTTCTACACATTTTGTGGTGTTTCAAAAGTTCTTTAGCAAGTAATTGCATCAGGCTTTTAATGTAATTTCTTTTGATTCATGTCAGGTCTGTCTTTACCTGATGACTGTGCCAGCACTGGCAAATGTGTTAAACCACATTCCCTGAATTTCTGTAAAGCAGTCTGTTCTGCTGTTTCCCTGGGTAGTGTGTAAATGTTTGCAGTGGTGGCTCTTACTTAGCCATCCATTCAGGGTGGCATTTACTTTCACTGTAGTGTTCAGATAGATAAAGGGCACAGAATGGACACAGCCTTACATCTGAGGAAGAAAAACAAAACTGCCCGGCACATGCTAGAGAAGAGTGATTGGAGAAAAACTCATTGTACCACACAGTTTCAGAAACTTTCATCTTTTCTAAATAGAAGGTAGACTGAGTAAATAACATAAAAGATGGAATTAAATGTTGTAAATAAACATGTTCATGTTAGGTTAATTCTTCACCACCTGCCTTTATAATAATAGCAAACACACCCATACCCCTCTTTAAGTGTATAATATATAATAATTTGATTTATCTTACTAACCATTATCCAATACAGCTTTTTGTATTTTGGTATTTTTTTTGATAGTTATTCACCTTGTCTTGGCTAGTATAAATGCACTAGATGGACATATTTGACTGTTAAGCTTGCATCTTGCAGAGATGTAACCTAGGTTAAACACAAGGTGGACATCTTTGACTACTATGCAGCATTGGGCTTTTTAAGCATCTCACATGAATCCTGCATTTTTAATTTTTTAAGATGCCTTGTGAAGTTCACACAAAAAGGAAAATGTACTCATCCTCAGGCCATCCAAGATGTAGATGAGTCTGTTTCTTCATTAGAATGCATTTGGAGAAGTTGCGGATTGTGATGTTTTTATCAGCTGTTTGGACTCTCATTCTGACGGCACCCATTCACAGCAGAGGATCTATTGGTGAGCAAATGATGTAATGATAATTCCTCCAAATCTATTCTGATTAAAAAATCGAATTTATCTACATTTTAGATGGCCTGAAGGTGAGTCAATGTTCAACAAATTTGAATTTTGGGGTGAACTATTCGAGCTGTGTGAGATCACTACCATCCTGCTTTTGTGGGGGTGGGTTGTGGTGTTAAATTATTATAATTTTTTTGTGTTGTTTTTTCCCCATAGGTTTTTAACATTCTAAAAGCTCTTTATTCCAAAGATACTACAAGCTAGTCAGTGTATTCAGTAGGTGTAATGTATTGTAAGTTGCTTCAGAGGTATTGCAAGTATTACATACAACAATAATAAAACAGTGCATTGACATAAATAAGGAAATTTACTTTTGGTACTTAAGCACTTTTAAAAGCAAGTACTTCTGTACTTTTACTAAAGTAAAACTCTGTTTTTACAACTTTTACTTGTAATGGAGTAATATTTGACCAGCAGTATCTGTACTTTCACTCAAGTAATGGAGTTGAGTACTTTGTCCGCCTCTGCTGGTATATAAAATAAAATACTAGTACTAGTAATTATCCAATTATGCAATAGCTGCATTATTACACCTTACTAGACATATTCTATCACACCTCACAGAGAATATGTCTAGAGTGTTGAAATCAATAATCAGTGATCACCTTCAAGATATTAAAAAAAGAGTTTCTATATCTGTAAGAATCTCTTCGGTTTACCAGCAATTTCATATCTGATCTTCTCCATATGTAGCACACTGCTAAACTCTATTAGCCACATCTTAAATTTGGGTAAAAACTCTTTGTTCCACATCTTCAAAATAGTCTTCTTTGCTATTGTGATGCCATACTGAACTGCCTGCGTTTGATTTGGACTATAGGTCTCCAAATATGGAGACCAGCCTAATACAGCAACAAGGAGGTCATGGGGAAAATCAGTCTTAAATTCCCTTGAATAAAAACAAAACACTTCACACCAGAACTTACACATTTTTGGACAGAACCAAAATAAATGACCCAAGGTTCCCTCGTTGGACTTACATTTAATACATAAAGGTGACACAGAGGAGTATATAGAATGAAACCTGGTACGAGAATAATGCAATCTGTGCACAACTTTATATTGAATGAGCTGAAAGTTAGAGCTGATGGAACACAATCTAATGCCTTGAAGAGCCTCAGTCCAAGTGTCTTCTGAAATATCTATATCTAGGTCTTTCTCCCAGGACATCTTCAAATGTTGTGTAGGAGGAACCCTGGAGTCATTAAAACATTCCACAAATCTAGAAACAAGACCCTTC